TTATTTGTGCAGTACAGCTTCATCCAGTCGCACTTTACGAATAACTAAACTTCAATTTGTTTTTGACGAAAATATAAGTACCGTTAAGCTAATATAAGGTTACATTTCTAAGAATTTACCCCTTACCCCACTTAACGCATAATGTAAAAGTTCCAAAATTGAAGAGTTTTCATACTAGATAATTGTTAATGCAGCTAGAATAATATTAATGTGATATAAAATTAATTCCATAAAATTAGTTATTTAGTATATTATACAAATTTATTTATATTATTTTTTATAACATTTTTTATATAAAACGAATAAATAATAATTATTATGTTATTAATATTCTGTACCTTACAGTAATTTAAAAGTTTTCTAAGAATAAATTGATATGTCATCTAAAAATTATGTAAATATTAATTTTAATATTAAAGTTTTTTTAAGTACACAAGATTTAATCTTTATTTTCTATTTATTAGTAGATAATAAAGGTTGATAATAAAAATATATTATTTAAACTAATGAAACAAAATCAAAGAAAAAGTTAAATAAAATAATCTAATTAAATTTTCGAGCACAATACAAATATTTTTAAATACTTTAAAAATAAAGTATATAGAATTTGTCTTTATTGTATAATGGGTATTTCATGAAAACAAAAATTCTCATTATTTCCATAAAGGCAACCAAAGAATAATACTTTTCTACTGTAAACGTAAAATTCTTGGTATTTTAGGTGTTAAATAACAGAATAAGAAATAAGTATAGAGCTGATTGTTACACAGTAGCTTGTCTTTGTTGATCTTCTACCCCTCGGTACGACTACCTGTAAAATACGGGTTCAGCGTTAGCATATACTATTAATCATTTAGAATATATTAAATAAATAAAAATATATCCATGAAATACTTAAATCACCAAGTAACCACCAATTATTAACAATAATATTGCTTTTCCAGAATAAAAATCTTGATGCACTTGTATTCTTCATTTTTACACAAAGATTAACAATTTATATAATAAAATTTCTTTTAAGTTTTTATAATTTTTGAAATTCAAGAAATAATATTTAAAAATATAATGTGCAATAATTAAAATTAAAAAATTAATATTAATTGTTATAATTTAGAATAATAAAACTATTTATAAAGCTATATCGATATAAATTCTACAACTTTTAGGCCTATGTATTTACCTTATTTATAAATTATTATTCTATATCTTGAAGGTATCAATTTTTATTAATTGAACACTTTCTAAATAAAAGTAGTTAAAGAATATAAAATCCTTTATATCATTATTATTTTAATAATGGTTTACTTTCTCAATAAGAACCGTATTTAGAATTTTAACTAAATTTATTATCAAATTTAAATGAAAAGAAATGATTTTTATATTATAATTGTACTTTATTTCATTCTTTTATTTTTTGAAATCTCTTAAAAATTTTAATGACAAAATCTTAAACTTTGTCAATACAATGTATTAAAAATGTTTCAATCATTCAGAGTATTTGATTAAAGCATAAGAAAAAAATTAAAACCCATTACATGACAGGAAAACAGTTCATAAATCATTTCATTCTAAACAAATTAAAAAAATTTTATTTTTATATAAACTATAAAAAACTAACTATGGACGGAATAAGTTTTGTATTTATTGATTTATTTGATATAGAACGATATGTTTAAATTTAATGCAAAAATGTCTTAGAATATAAAATTAAAGAAAAATGAAATATTTGCTTTTTAATCATGACAAATTTTATAATTTTTCGAAAGAAATTATTGTCATAGAAAAGCAAAGATTTATCTAGAGACTAAAATTTGAAAGACGAATGTCATAAATCGTTTCTGTTAACAAGAGTCTCACTTTAAAACATCCACCAATATGATTTCAAGTAAGTAAGAGATGAAGGGCGGTGTCAGGGTGTAGCTCGACGTGTGAATGAATTTTCTCTGTCCCCAATCAGATTACATTATATAACATAGATAACATATTCTATTTGGATTTATAAGTTTACAATAAAAGAAATTTTTTGGATTTATAAGTTTACAATAAAAGAAATTTTTTATAAATAAAATTTGATTTGAGTATTAAAAAATAATCATTATTAACTATACTTAATAACTTACACATATGAATAATTACGACTCATATTAAGATTTATAAAACTTAAGCATTTCAATCACAATCAATATTAAAATTGAATAAAAATGAGCATAATTTTATTTTTATAATATACAATTTGTGAAGTAGATGTTAATGAAAGCATGAAATTAATATTGATAAATGAGAATGTAGTCAATCATTATCAATTAATACTAGTTATCTGTTGAATATTAAATATTAGTAAAATTATTAGTAGTACTTTATATACATAATAATTTTTTAAAAATATTTTACAGCTATATATCCATGACGTTTTAATTATATACTATTATAATAAGAATAAAAACAAAGTAAATTTAATACCATATTTTAATCATCAATAGATTTAAAATAATAAACTATTGTGAATTTAGTAATAATTTCAATAAAGAAATAAATTTAATATGAAATTTCTATATAAAACTTCAAGTGAAATATATTTATAAATTAAAAAAATATAAAATAAAATTACATAATTCAATATACAATATATTGGAGAAAAAATAATTAAAAACTATAGAATTTAACAAAATATACTAGATATTATTTTTCACAGAATTAAGAATTTTATTATTATTTTATTACCAAACTTGGTAAAGAAAAAGTATTTTAAATATATTATTACAATTTAGATAACTGTACAGATTATTTTTAAAAATGTCCTAATATGTTTTTATTTTTAAAATATTATGATTTATGCTAATTATCCAATAATAGTTGAAATTTTTAAAAATAATTATGCATATGTTTAAGAAAAAAATTCCATTGAAAATAGGTTTATACCTATCAAAGTAATTCGTTAATAATGAAATCAGTGTCTGAAATCATAAAAAAATATTGATATGCCGGTAAATATAAAACAAGATAGTGCCTTATCGTTGTTAAAAATTTTAAAGAAATTCCACGATATTCTTCGTTTTATTAACCTTTTCAAGAAATGCAAGAGTATGTACGTCAAAAAATAGAATTTATGAAGCAAAGCATAAACACCGTCTAATTTTATCTTGTCGAATTTACAATACGATGGATATACAAGGACTTTACACATTTGTTTGTGCACTGAACAGTAAAAACGTTTAAAGGATCGCAATAACAAGCAAACGAAAATGTGGTGCTAAAAGTGTACAGTGTTTGAATTGAAGTGTTTTACTGCATAGCGAAAAATAAAATTATAAATCCTCGATAAAAAAGATAGGCTGAATCGCATCGTATTTGGATATTTCATATACAGTAGAATAAAAAACGTTGCTGAGCCGTAGATAATAAGCTTAAAATTTAGTATGCACGAGAGCTCGATATCCATAACAAAGTTTAAACAATTTTACTAAAATTTTATTCAAACCTTCAGAATATTATTTAAATATTCTTTAAATAGTGTGAAATTGCTTTTACATTTCTAATGGGTGCGAAAATCGCTCTGGTGAATTAAAATTATAATGAATTTATTAACACAGAAATACAAAATTTATTATTTGTCGTGAAGTGAGAAACCCTATTTCATATATTATTTGTTATTGGATATTAATTTCCTTAAAACTTTTACGACTCATAAATAGCAATTTTTGAATTATTTTCTTCAATTTTTTGAAAAATTGCCATTTTATTCACAAACTTCTAGAATCTTTCGTCATATTCTCGATTAAAAAATAAATAAATCAAATTCTAGTACTTAACAATTATAAATGAATTTAAAGCTTTTCATCATACAAAACTTTTTCACAACAAAAAAACTTACTATCGCATGTTAAATCTATTTAAAACTTGAAAATACTGTATAACTTTTATAATGAGGTCATTTATATTAATAATATATTATTAGTCAGATTTGTAACATTTATTCACGTATAATATGAAAATATATTAATTTAATATATAAAATTATATAAAATTTATATAAAATACAGAAATTCACTTTGGTTTAAAAAAAAGTGATTAAATATTACTTCAGTCTTACGTAAGCATTCATCTTAATAATATAATAAAATTAATATTATTTATAATCAATTATAAAAAGATATACAATTTAAACATTTTTAACAAAAATAATTATAATTAGTGAAAAAACCTCGTTATTTCTGTTCTATTTATTCTGAATCCTTACTTATTGCATCATTAAAACCACAAAGTTAGTGACAGATTTTCAGTTTCTAAGTCTTTTAGTACCTTGATTTTTTTAACGATTCTATGAATTACTTTTTTTTTTAAAGAAATAGCTTTTTATTACTTTTCAAATTAAGTATAAAATCTCAAAAAAAATCAAGGTACTGAAAGACTTAGAAACTAAAAAACTGTCACTAACTTTGTGGTTTTAATGATGCAATAAGTAAGGATTCATAATTATAAATTATGTATAAATTATATAAATTATTCATCATTATAAATTTGTATATCATCAATTCTTAAATAAATAAAAAATTTTTATTTTTATTTTAAGCTTCAATTTCAAACTATATTTCATTATAAATAGAAAATACAAAAATTATCTATTATAAATCGCATAAATTCAAATATGATAAATGGCTATTATAATTAATTAAATGCAAATACTCAACTCACTATACTAAACCATACTAAACTATAGATTACTGTAATAAATCGTTAATAACTACTTCCGTTTTATTTGAATGAAATAAATACGAATTCAGAAAAAAAATCAATTTTATTTTGAAATAAGTTTGTTATTTCAAAATTATGCAACATAATGTTTTTATTCATTTGATTGATTATTTTAATAATATTACATAAATTTATAAAGGCAAAATATTTTTAAAGTTACATCTACTTTATTGATTATTTACATTAATTAAACACTAAGTGTAAGAAAATATAAATATATAATTATCGTATATAATTGTCTGTTTTAGTCTTTTTTCGGACTTAAGAAGTTTAGCAGGAACAACCTTAATGAATTTGCTGGCAGCTCTTTTCATGGTGCAACTTTTATTTATTGTTGGAGTTGGCGGTGTTCAGGTGAGAAAAACTATCTTATACGTAATTTTTATTCAATATTTATTGAATAACGTATGTCTAGCTTATAAATAATAAATAAGTTAAAAAACTTAAAAAAAAATTACATTTATATGGCTTATGTCACTATTTAATTGCAATAACATACTATGTAATAATGCAATATAATTATCAATAGAATATTGTAATGAAGCTGAAAAGAACTTCTCTATATAAGATATCAAAATCGCTTATTTTTTTATACTTATTCTATACTATATGGTTTCATGTACATCTATAAAGAATTTGAAAATTTCCAGCAATTGCTAATATCGATGTACCTAACATAATGATTTCTCATAATATACAAATACTACTTCAAAATAAATTTATTATATTCTGTTTTATATCTGACCCAAATAAAAATATTAAAATGATATTTATCTTTTCATTCATAATTTAAAGATTCTAAATTACTACAAAATTATAAATTGAACTAATAATGGGTAAAAAATATGTACATAAATATTAAAAATATAAGAATAAATTAAACTTATAGTTTGAATTTAAATAATAATTAAACAAGTAAAAATAAATATTTGAAGACAACATAAAAAATCTAGTTTATAAGTACAAAATATTCGATATATATTTTATTATTAAACTGTGAGTTTATTTAAGAAATAAAATTGAATGAATGTAAATAAAAATAAATATAACGTGCATTGTAAAATACATTTCATTTACTTAGGTATATATTAAATTACATACTTTACAAGTAAATTATATATAAAATATAATAGGAAAAACTATAAATTTACTTAATCGCCCATTTTGTAAAATTTTAAAAATAACTGCATCTATTACTAATTTTAAAAATTTTATAAAATTGAGTAATAATTATATATAGTAATTTATGCCTTATTAAAATAAAAATAATTTAAATAAAGTATAATGGAAATATCTTAAATTATAAAATATTTTTTAAGAACATTGTTAACTCTATTAAGTCATTAGGTAATTTTAAATATTTGGATATATAATTTAAATCAATTATTTCTAAAAAAAGAAAAGATTAAACATTTAGTTTTAAATATAATTAGAAATATAATTTGATCATACACTATGACAGACATTTTATAATAAGGGATAGCAAAATAGTGTTAATAAGAAAAATAGAGTGAAAATTCTGAGTTAAAAAACTGCCCAAATTATTAACACTTTTCAAGCATACATATACATTAATTTCAATAAATATTCAAAATACATATAAATATCAACATGATAACAAATTAAATTTATTTTTAACACCATCATAATTTAATAAACGTTTTTAGTATTGAAAAACAGTAGAGTGTTAACACGATTGCTTTCGTTAAGACAATAAATAAAATCTTTATACAACTCGGTAAAATAGATAGTTCGTTATTCCTCATGGGCCTTAGAAGGCCTTGAATGTCATTAAATTATCTACATAGGATAAGCATTAACGTAGTGTCAAAATAGATGTCGATAACATTCTATATACGTGATTCTATCAGAACAGTAAACTCATGATTGAATAAGTTAAAAGAGGATAAATAAATACCAAGAGAAACAAAAAAATAAATAAATTGAGTATAATAAAAATATATAATGTTTAACGTCAATTTTCGAGCAAATTTGATAATTTTTATATATTTAACTAAAATAAAAGTAACAGTATATAAAAATATTTAAAATTTTTAAAGAAACTTTTAAATAAACATTTCTCTTATGGTATATTTAAGATTATAATTCAGTACTGTTTTAATTAATTACAAAAAAATCTATTTATTGTAAATAAGTTGAAATTTATAAAAAAAATAAATTAAATATCATCTTGGTTTTAATTTATAATAACATATATTTTTAAATAAAAAGTACTGCTATATGTATAAATAAAATTATAATATGTAAATTATAATTTAAATAATAACAGTGTAGAAAATAGTTTAAAGTAAAAATTTTAATATAAAGTAATAATAATATAACAAATGACTTTCGTAAGATTTGAAAAATTTAAAAATACTTTAAAGTTTTCTCTCGAAAAAATAGTCATTAAATTATTTGTATCTTTAAAATATGAAATTGCTAGATTATTTTCATATTCACATTATTTTTAAATAATAACTTTAACATTATATAACACTGCAAATAATATCTAAAATAAGATTCAAGATGAAAATAAATTTTATATTAACTCAGTAAATAATAGATAAAAAAAGTTTCATTATAAAATTGAAAATTATAGATCTCAATTTAGAAATGTACAATAAGGTTCTAAAAATATCTCATTATAGCATTGCTATAATTTAAATATTCAAATTTGCGTGAGTAATTTTTAAATTTGCACATTTTGTAAATTATGTAAAGAAAATGTTTTATTAACTTATGCAAACAGCCATATGGACATAAAATAAAATGAGAAGGTATGTTGACAAAAAATTTCTGTGAATCGAAATATAATTTACTAATTAAAATTGACAAACATTTTACTTGATAGCTTAATGTACGTTTCTACATTAGAAGTTGGCATAACCTGCGTACTTCTAATGTAAAAAATATATAGATATTTGATATATATACGACTATTATTTAAAATAAAAATTAATAGTCAGCAATTAAGCAAATCAATAATATTTATTATTTTATTCTAACTTTAAATAATACTATTTTAATACTATAAAAAAAATTTAATGTAAATATGTATAAATATCCAGATAAACACGTAAATTAACCTATTTATATATGTAAATGTATTTTAGACTTGTTTATATTATAATTGTATTAATCTATATATATGTAGTATACAAAAATAGATGAATGCATACAATTTCATTACTTGTAGCTAAAATTTTACATCCTTTAAATAAAGTTGATATTTCCGAATATTTTATTCGTCCGGGCAGGATTCAGATATATGTAGATACATTCAGATACGATGTAAAAATCTCTATTTACTTCATTTTTAACTAACATCATTTTTAAGCACTTGATTTGTAAGTACTCAGAATATTTCGAGTATTCAGAAATGAATAGTTCCGAGAAGAATACATGAAGCCGCACATCACTTGAGGGCAAATACATAACACTCTAAATGTTAGGGGTCAAGGAATTCCAATCTCTGATAATATAGTTGGTAGTGTTTGAACGATTTACGGTATCCGCCGTGTGGTGAGAGATGAGCCAGTAATTAACTATTTTAAATTTTCCAGCTGCCTTCTGCATATAGGGATAAAATCAATAAATCGTCTAATCGTAAAATTAAATAATTTTGTTGCTCTATGAAATTGTATATTAACTTAAAAGATTTAACTGTACTTTTTTTTAATTGTCGTTATAGTTTTCAAAATATATTACTTAAAAAAATCTTAATTAAATTATTTTATTATAAACAATTAATCAACAAAATTGTTTTACGAAAATATTATTTTCTAAATTATTTATTTTTCACGGCTAACATCGGAAATTGTTTTACTTATCATTTCAACTATTCGTACATAAATGACAAAGATTCTTACATAAAAGACAAATCTTGAAGAAAAAAACTGATTTGATGATGACAGACTTACTGAATTGATGACAGAATTGAATACGGAATCTACAATAAAATTTTTTACTCTTTTAGCCTTACTTTTAGATAAAAAAGAAATATACAAGAAATCTTTTCATTTTGATAAAAAATGAAAGGTAATTCATTTATACTTACTTATTTTGTGATAATGTTGCTGTTGTCTAATAAATGTATATAATTATTACATAATCTTTTCTATGTGTAATATAAATCGAAAATAATTAATCGACTTTATTCATTATAAATAAGTAAATAAAAAAGTAAACTTAATGTTAGTAATTCAAATTATAAATAATTTTTGTATAATATTTTCTGATTTTAATCACATTTTATATAGAATGTAAAAATAGAAACCACTTAATAAAAATACCAAATTCAAATCTCTTTAGTTGATAAACTTTCGCTACAACAGTTCTAGAATGACATAAAAGTCATCTATTGTTCAAATTTTAATATCTATAGGTATTATGATTGAAAATAAAAAAGCACAAATATGCGTTCGCGAAATTCACGTATAACTTCCTGCTATCCTTTATCGAAAACAAATAAACAATTCTAACGATGAAACATAATTTGAAATAATTTACCATATAAAGATCTTATACACTCAAATATATAAATTATTTTGTATAACTATCTATAATAATACATTGCGAATAATTCATTTTACTTAAATTTTTCTTTTAATACTAATTAAGCTATCAATAAATTGAATTTGATCTCTTAGGAATGCAATGAAATTTATTTCAAAATTTAGGCGATGCTTACCGGGTAATTCCATAATTCAAAATTGCCGTTTTTAGTACGGATATTTTGTGAAAATGACGAAAAATTTTTTTAATAATAACAGTTGATAATATGATATAATTTCATAGTATTTCTCATTATAATAAAAAAATTAGTTTGGAGCAACATGATAGAAAAGTAAAACCCAAGACACACGGCTCACACCCCGATCGAACACACAGGCATAAACCTCGATAAAATGAAACTGCAAGGGCGGACTTTTAAAATTAAAAAGAAAAGGAGCAGCTGGCTCACATTCAGAGAGAAAAAGCAAGAAAGAAGTTGGACAAGGGAGTGGAAAACTAGTTTTGGATTAATAACGGTAACATGTTGCCCATATATAATACATATATTCACAGCCGCGCTATAAGAAATAGAAAAAAATAAAGGAAGACAAAGAGCTAGTAAGCCTCATTAGAGACTCGTTATTCATGCGTTATAATAATTATTATTTATTTTACTTATATAAATTTATGTACCTTTTTAATATATTGTTAAATAATAAATCCTTCTCGCAAACCATTTTATTTGCTGCAAAATTTGTTTCAATTGTCGCCGAAACGGAAGCATTTGTACTCACTTTGACTTCAAATTATGAAATTAACAAATGTAATATTTTTAAATGATATACCACTTGAGTTAA